GTTATATAATTTTTTAACAGCAAATGTCATTTTTGTTCATACAATTATAAGTTGGTTGATAAGTATCATTTCACTGATATGCAGAATAAACACTTTGAACATGAATGTGCTTACCCCTGAAGAAGAGATTTGTACATCTGGAAACACATCAGGTGTTGCCTTCAAACATTTGCTATAGGTTCTAATGCTTTGTATCATTGTCTGTAAATCGTTGTTGATTATATGGTTGTCTATTTCCCTTTGTATCTGTAAATGCTTTTTTTACCCATAAGGATGTATTTTATCTTACTTCTCATCAATTAAAGAATATTTTATATATTTAATATGGCTATATGGATGTAATGCTGCATAAAAAGTCCCACTATCTAAAGGGTATCATTGTATTGTCTCGTTACCATTAGGGATGATTGCAGCCTCAAATGTCCTTACTCTATTCACAGTATGTAGGAAAGTAGCTACCCTCTCTTGTTCTGAAATGGACTCGGGATTATGGTCTATAGACATTGGAATTTGTACCATGCATAGAGCAGTGTGCATCAATGCAACTAACAAGCACTGTTCATCCAAGTAAGAAGAGGTTCAGGAGCTTACAGAGGATGTTACAAGGAGGCAGAAAAACACAGGAAGAAACAATTGAATGTGCATGTATTATTTTTAGAGAATAAGGATATCATTTAGTTTCACTTTAAGGATCTTACCAAGACTAAAAACAAGGATTTGTTTGTAAATCTATTCACAAAAACATGATATGATCTTTAACATGTTAATGTAATTTAATTTTTTTAGTTTTTTTAATCACATGGGCTACATTAAAATAGTATCTGGTGATCTTGCAAGGAAGTATCTTGTTCAGACACTTCCTTTTATAGGATGACATTGCATTGCCTTTGTCTGCTCTTGTCTTGTTGTTCTGAGTTGTCACCTTGCTACATGTGCTTCCATTGGAGACTTACCTGTGTGTGCCAACATTTTATGCATGGACACATTCCGCCATTGTCACCATCAGAAAGCTGTTGTGACCAATGGCATGCAGCTGCCACTGGGTCACATACAAAGGACCAACTTAAGAGCCAAGCTAGCATTTTCAGGAAAAAGTCCCCAATGGCAACCTCCAAATTTCTTTGATAAGAGATTTTGTTTTAGTGGTTTGTAAGTCTGCATTGTTTTATATGGTCAACTCAGAATAATTGGATGTGAGCAGATGAAAAGAGACCAACATAATAATTCATTAGACTCAGTCCCCACTGGGTAAGGTCACACAAAACATTGCTAACAAAAAGCTATTACAAAAAGACCTTAAAAACCTTTGCAATGCGTATCCTTTCCACTGGTCCACCACCCTACCTTATTTAGGTCTAATTCTGACTCCCTCATACAATAACCTATATCACATGAATCTTCAGCCTATATTTCTAAATTCATTATTGGACTTATGTCACTATTTTTCTATATCCTTAATTTGATAGGTATATTAATTTAAAATGACATACCTTCCAAAATTGATATACATGTTTTGGGTCCTTCCTGTCTCTATTCCCCCCATATATATTACAAATCCAACAATCAAAACTTTTAGTTTTATTTGGGGTTGTTTCAGACCCAGAGTTAATAAGTCTATTATGTTTGCTCCTAGAATGCCAGGTGAGCTAGCAGTTCCAAATGTATTGCATTATTATCTGGCCAGTAATATAGCTCATCTCCACAACACATGTGCCCTCCCCATGTGGGTCTATATGGATATTCTTGATTCTCATCCTACACATCCAGCCTCTTTTTCCATGGCTTCCTCCACATCATTGCCCGCAGTCCCTTAACCCAATTCGGTCCTTTACACTCAAGATCTGGGGCTCCATCAAATTTTCTTCAGGCCTCGTTTTCCCATTTCTCTATTTATTGCAGCTGCTTAAATGGCCATTATTTCTCCCAGGCTTGGAAAAACTCTATGCAATTTTGATGGTGGTCCTCTATTGTATCTGCTAAGTGGACACCCATTAGACTATGGAAGACAGAATTTAATCAACTGCTGGACTTGGAGGATTGCCAAGTAACATGGCAAGTAATTTCTAAAAGCTCTAGAATCCTAATCTTAGAAAATACCAGTTAAGTTTTATATAGGTGCTACTATACCCCAAAATGGTTGATAAGAATTTTTCCCAATTACCCCTACACCTGCTTTTGAAGTTGCCGCCTTGAGGGCACCATGACCTACATATGGTGGACATGCCCAGTGATGAACAGACAATGGATATGGGTTTATAATTTAACCTGCTCCCTGATCCATAAGAATTTTCAAGCTTATGACTATCAGTAATAAAATGGTACCCTATCCCAATAACTGTACTAAGGAAAAAAGGAAAAGAAGGGTGGGACTGTCTAGGTACCAAACAACAACACCATTGAGATAAAAAAAGTACAACATTTATTAGATAAGATTTCAGATTATACAAAACATATATAATAGACCATTTTGAACTAGATTATGATTACTTAGATGAGTCAATTGCATGCCATCTGTTGAGAAGTTTTCAGATGGATTTTGAGACCTTGAAACCACAACGCGTTTCAGCTCTTAACGAGCCTTCATCAGGAGGAAGGACGTGGTCTAAGACAAAAACACAAGTGGATAAACACCACACGGAAACATAAACGAAAAGGCCATTCATATAACATAGGCTACTTATACATACCCATAAAAAAGGAGTATAAAAAAACACGTAGAAAGATGCATGTCCTATATGGCAGATCTCCAATGGAATCCGGTAAGATTCAAGGAAGATAAACCCAGCTAGTTGGCACAGAGAATAGAGGCAACAAGCTTAAACACAGGAGATATAATAGTAATATTGTGGTCACTAATATAGGGCCCTATATTCAAAATACAATATCAACATCATAAAGAACTATATTGGTTACCCACCAAAATCCGCTGATTGACTGTGAGTTTCCCGGATAGGGCATTCTCCCAGCTAGGTTGTTGTGACTGTATTTCAAGTAATACAATATATTCGTTTCTGCATCCAGGCCTCGGTTTCTTTACTGCTGCCACACCATGCTGCACTCAGGCCACATGTAGGATATTGAGCTCCAAAGGATCCTTTAACCCCTTATTCTGCTTCTTTCGCCGTTGTACCCGTTATTTATGACTACACCTATAATGATTGTGCGCAACAGAGACATGGAGCTGTACGTGACATGTCATCTTGTTCAGGTCTCAGCATTTTTGTTTTTCATGAGCAATGATCTTCCTTCCCTCCCTCCTCCTAAAATATATGGAATATGTAGCTGTAACTTTTAACAAACTTCAAAAGAACCTCTTATCCTAATTTAAACACAGACCTGGCCAGGCTGCAAATAGCTAATTAGTCCTGGCAGGATGTCTGTTTCCATGAACCATGGAAAACACTTTCCTCTGCCCTATCGTAAAACAATAATAACTTAGTCAAGCAGTCACACATGACCTGTATGGCCATTAAGGCTCTAGGAATGCAGGGTGTGCCATAAAACGTCTATTCCACATGTAACAATTCTACATACAATTCATAGAATTCAACAGGAACAGGGCACATTAATATTAGGTATATATTTGAATAGGGAATATCATACTGAACAAATAAAGGTCATACATGACTGTGTTAGCCCATAAGAAAGAGGAGAAAGCAGTCTCTTCCCTCCTGGGTGACAAAGGTACACTGTGTTTGGTATCCCTGGGTTCAAAATACAATTCTGAATATTAATCTGCTAGTTGCTAGATGTCAGAGGAAAAGACAAGGAAACCCAAGCAAATGCGCCAATGCGCAATATGGCTACGCCAATTCCCGCAAAGAAGTGCGCATGCGCATAGGCGGGCGACACGTAATCATGCATTCCTGTGCACGAAAACGCACAGGCACACTCAGGGTGCAATAATTGCTGACACTCAGTGGCCTTTATAAGGACTGCAGCTCTGCTCAGTGATTGCTGGATTATCGTCAGCCCCTCCCATTCCTGTGTTCCTGAGGTTACTGCTGATTACCCATTACCGACCCAGCTTGATCCTGACCTTGTTTCTGTCTGCTGCTCTGTGTATGACCCTGGCTTGCTCCTGACCTTGCTCCTGTCTGCTGCTACTCTGTGTATGACCCTGGCTTGATGCTGACCTTGCTCCTATCTGCTGCTGCTCTGTGTATGACCCTGGCTTGATCCTGACCTTGCTTCTGTCTGCTGCTACTCTGTGTATGACCCCGGCTTGATCCTGATGTTGCCCTTGTCTGATGTTCCATATTGATCCTGGCTCTGGCTACTGACTACTCTACCCATCCTCCGGGATCCACTTGTTCTCTGGAGAAACTCATCCTGCAACTGGAGCACCCACAGGTTCCATCTCATCAGGCATTTCCAAGCAGCAACACCACTGGCAACCCGTGCTTCTTTGGGCATTGCACCTCCTTTTTCCACCTCCAGGGGCACTTAGCCGTAAGGGGAGCCCTCTCTCTATTGCAGCCTCTGGTCAGGTACGTGACACTAGAATACCACCTGCACATATTGGAGGTTATTAATATTAGTGTAATACTGTACTTGGGACTTGGTCATAAATTTGGGGACCTCCTGGCACCCATCCCTTAAACCGTATTATTGGTCAGTTGGTCTCTGTCCACACCACCTTGATATCATAGAAAAGGGACTGACAGGACTTGTTAAGATTGAGCTCTCGTTAACATCAACCAAAGTACATCTTAACGGACTTGAGAGCCAAGGCAACGTTTTTGCTTGGACAATTGGACTCTGCTAAAACCAAGGACTTTGGAAATATTCTGTCTTCATTCCTTTTTTTTATTTCTCTGTTGCATTATTGCTCTCTTTATGTCTTTGTAACATCCCTTTCTGTACATATTTTAATTGCACCATTTGACCTTTTCATTAACAAATCGTGTTTTGAAAAGTGTTAAAATTATCTCTAGGGCTTTTAATGCAAACTGTCAGGGACCATCGCGACACATGGGTCTGCACATGCGCAGGTGTCTGTCAAGACATGCAGGCAGCAGGGCACTAGGACCCAGGCGCACCCGGCACCTATGACGGTGCTGGCCAGGCACTAGGACCTAGGCTGTGCCTGTCAGGTGCGGGGCGGGCTGCTTAAACCAGCCCTGCACAGACACAAGTTGCCGTATGGTCTGATCTTTGCTCCTGTGTTCCTGTGTTCCTGCTATTTGAGATTCGTTGCTGACCTTGCCTGAACCTGACCTCCGCTGACTTCTCCTGCTCTGACCCCCTGGCTAGTTTGACCTCTCTTCTGGATAATCCCCATACCTGATCTGAACTTCTGTTACTGACCCCAGCGAGTGACCTGACTATTCTTCTGCCTGCCGCCTTGTACTACGCTGAGCCCACTGTTACTGACCCGGCCCGTTTGACCACGTTTACTACTCCGCCATCCATCCATTCCACTCGGATCCTGTCTTCCATCTCTTCACGTCAGGCTCTCTACCTGCACATACCCCTGGCGGATCTCTCTACCACGGACGGGTGTACTCAGGGGCCGCGACCTGGTCCCTGTCTGCTCCAAGCCCATTCCCACCATCAGGGGCCCTGGTGAACAAGCAGACTGGGGCTTAGACTCCGCACCCTGGGGAATCCTGTCCTGTGGACTGCTAGAGGCCCCGCTAGGCGGTTACTAACACAAACTAAAGAATCTCTGTCTCTTGAAGAGTGCTACTGTATATAATAATTGTCTGAATATACCTGTCTGTGGTGACAGTGTGTGTTACAGACATTTATTGTTCACATTTGTTCTTGCTAACATTGTGAAGGGTTGATAGTCCCAAAACTATCTGGTGGCAGTTTGGAGTTTTATGGGTTAATTGTGTAATTAACCTAACCCAGTGACAATCACTCTCAGGCTGCTGGCACATAGATTGTGAGCTGGAAAATCTTTGCGCAGGGTGCAGCTGAGAGTGGCATTGTTACACAAGTGACAGCACAGTGTTAGATTGGCTGGTCCTTTGTCAAGAGTTGGTAAGAAGGGCAGGGGTCAGGCACTGCGTTCGTCACAGCACCTACTGGGCATTTTCTATTATTTACTTATATAGTAAGCACTGCGCACATTCCTTTGAGTCCTTTTTAAGAATGTTATTGTATTTGTGCTTGCAAGCTTGATACGTGACAATATACCGTATATGCACTTTTGCAACCACTGCACCTTTGTTCCTGCTATGGTACCTTTCTTTTGAATTCTTCAGTAAAAATAACTTCTTCAGTAAAAAGAAAGAAAGGGCTTGTTGTGAGCAAGAAGATTTCAAGAGAGAAAAAATGATATAGGCTGCCAATGTCTATCTCTTTCTAAAATACATTAGTTGCCTGGCTGTAATAGAACCTCAAATGGAGGTCACAATACTAAAACCATACAGATTATGGTAAGCTTGGGCTAAATGGAGCTAGGATGCCTTCATTTTATGGCCTCATTCACATGGCCACTTTGGACCATATACCGAGAATAGTGAGCATGCATCTCCATTAGGTTCCACAGACGTCTGGGGTCAGCTGCTGCTGCTCAGCCTGTGCAAATCAATCACAGGCTGAAGAGTACTGCAGCTGTCCGTATGTAACCATACTGTAAATCCAAAATGATGCAATTTGGTACAGATGAGTGCCCCTGGACCTCTCCTTCTGAAACCGCTATTTTACTGACAGTCATGCTGATGCTCTGACTGTATTACCTTCTGAATCATTGATCTGGAACTAATAGAGTCAGAAAACAGAAGTGTATAGCTTTATATGTAAGCAACATAAGTATGGAAGCCATGGAATCAGTATGACAGTCAGACAAGTAGCATTTTGAAAAGAAGAGGGTCAGCAGTGGAAACCTCTATCTTTATCTCAGTTCAGGTTTTCTCTAAATTGGCAGCTATGACATGTGCTACTCCAAACCCTTCTGTCAACAGATCACTGAATTACGGTGGTGTTCTGCTACTCTCTAGACAAGGCTTTGTCATTATTTTCTTTAGTTTGTATGACCATTCAATACAAACACTATATGATGGAAAAGTGGAAATGTTGCTCATAGCCAATAAATATCACATGAAAGATTGATGGCCCAGCTCTTGGCTCATAAAATTCAATGGGACAGTGCAAACAACTCAGAACAATCAACCAGATTCACACCTCCATTAGAGCCCTCTATGACTTGTCTGAGACGTCTCACAGGCACTTGTAAATAAGACCCATTTGTTTTCTTGGTTCAAACCACTCTCAGATGGGTTTACAGGTATCAGTTTGAGCATGTAGCAATTTAAGCATCCAGCAGGTGGTGAGCATGAAACTAATGTGCATATAGAGGTGGTTAGCATGAACCCAATGTGCATCCAGCAGGTGGTGAGCATGAGGCTAATATGCATCCAGAGGTGGTGAGCATGAGACTTATATGCATCCAGAGGTGGTGAGTAGAGATGAGCGAATTATTCAAAAATTCGATTCGGCTGATTCGCCGAATTTGCGGGAGAAATTCGATTCGATACGAATTTATTCGCCGCGAATTTAACTTATTTAAAGGGTTTCTAGAATGAAAAGAAGAATAAAAGAAGAATGAAGGAAGAAGAATGAAAAGAAGAAGAAGAAGAATGAAAAAGAAGAAGAAGAAAAATGAATGAAAAAGAAGAAGAATGACAAAGGAATGAAGAAGAATGAGATGAAAAGAAGAATGAAATGAAGAAGAAATGAAAAAAAGAATGAAAGAAGAAAAAAAAGAAGAAAAAAAGAAAAGAAGAGAAGAATGAAAAGAAGAATGAAAAATAAAAAAAGAAGAAGAAAAGAAGAATGAAAAGAAGAAGAAAAGAAGGATAATGAAAAGAAAGAAGAAACGTGAAAAGAATTCAGAAAAAGAAGTGAAGAATAAAAGTGAAAAGAAAAGATGAAGAAGAAAAGAAGAAAAGAAAAGAAAAGAAATGAAAATGAATGAAGAGAAAAAAAGAAGAAATGAAAAAGGAATGAAAGAAAAGAAGAAGAAAAAAGAAGAAAAGAAATGAAAGAGGGAAGAAAAAAAAGGTGAAGAAGAATGAAAAGAATGAAAAGAAAGAAGGAAAGAAGAAAAGAAAAGAATAAGAAAAAAGAAAAATTGAAGAAGAAAAAGAGAAAAGAATGAAAAGAAGAAGAAAAGAATGAAGAAAAAAAGAAGAAAGAAGGAATGAAAAGAAAATGAAAAAAGAAGAAGAATGAAAAGGAATGAAAAAGGAAGAAGAAAGAAAAAGAAAAAAAAAGAAAAATGAAAAGAAGAATGAAAGAAGAAGAAAAAGAAGAAAAGAAGAAGAAGAAAAAAGAAAAGAAGAAGAAAAGAAGAAGAAGAAAAGAAAAAAGAATGAGAAAGAAGAAGAAATGAAAAAAATGAAAAAAAGAAGAAAAGAAAGAAAAAAGAAAGGAAGAAAAAAAAAAAAAAAAGAAGAAAAGAAAAAAGAAATGAAAAAATAAGAAAGAAGAAAAAAAGAAAGAAAAAAAGAAGAAAAAGGAGAGAAAAAGAAAAAAGAGAAAAATGAAAAAAAGAAGAAGAAAATGAAAAAAAAAAGAAAAGAAAGAAAAGAAAAAAAAAGAATAAATGAAAAAGAAGAGAGAATGAAAAAAGAAAAATGAAAAGGAAAGAGAAAGAAGAAGAAGAAAAAAAGAAGAAGGTGAAGAAAAGAATGAAAAGAAGAAGGAAAAGAAAAAAGAAGAAATTAGAAATGAAGAAAAAGAAAAAGAAGAAAAAAAAAGAAAGAAAAAAAGAAGAATGAAAAGAAGAAGAAAAGAAAAAAATGAAAATGAAAAGAAAGAAAAAGAGGAAGAAAAAAGAAGGTGAAGAAAAGAATGAAAAGAAGAAAAAAAAAAAGAGAAAAGAAAAAAGAATGAAAGAAAAGAAGAATGAAAAAAAAAAGAAGAATTGAAAAGAAAAAAAAAAAAGAAGGAAAAAAGAAGAAGGGGATGAAAAGAAAAGAAGAAAAGAAAAAAAGAAGAAGAAAAGAGATTGAGAAAAAAAAAAAAAAAGAAGAAATTGAAAAAAAGAAGAAAAAAATGAAAAAAAAAAAAAGAAAGAAAAGGGAAGAAAAGAAGAAAAAGAATGAAAAAAAAAAAAAAGAAAAGAAAAAATGAAAAAAAAGAATGAAAAGAAGAAGAAGGAAATGAAAAGAAAGAAGAAGAAGAAGAAAAGAAAAGAAGAAGAAAAAGAAAAGAAGAAAGAAAAAAAAAATGAAGAAAAGAAGAAAAAAAAAAGAAAGAAAAAAAAAGAAAGAAAGAATGAAAAGAAGAAGAAAAAAAAGAAAAAAAAAAGAAGAAAAAAAGAAAAAAAAGAAGAAGAAAAAAAAAAAATGAAAAAAGAAGAAGAAGAAAAATAGAAAAGAAAAGAAGAAAAGAAAAAAAAAGAAAAGAAGAAAAAAAAAAAGAAAAAGAAGAAAAAGAATAAAAAGAAGAAAAAAAAAGAAGAAAAAAAGAAAATGAAAAAAGAAAAGAAAAAAAAAAAAAAGAAAAAGAGAAAAGAAGAAAAAAAAAAGAAAAGAAAAGAAAAAAGAAAAAGAAGAAGAAAAAAGAGAGAAAAGAGAAAAGAATGAAGAAAGAATGAAAAAAAAAAAGAAAAGAAAAAAAAAAAAAGAAGAAGAAAAAAGAAAAAAAAAAAAAAAAAAAAAAAGGAAAGAAGAAATTAGAAAAAGAAAAAAAAATAAAAGAAGAATGAAAAAAGAAAAGAAAAAAGAAAAAAAAGAAGAATGAAAAGAAGAAGAAGAAGAAGAAGAAAAGAAGAGAAGAAAAAAAAAGAAGAAAGAAGAAAAGAAAAGAAAATGAAAAGAAGAAGAAAAAAAGAAGAAAAGAAAAGAAGAAGAAGAAAAGAAGAATGAAAAAAAAGAAAAGAAGAAAGAAGAATGAAAAGAAGAAAAGAAAAGAAGAAGAAGAAGAAGAAGAAGAAGAATGAAAAGAAGAAAAAAAAGAATAAAAAAAAAGAAAAGAAGAAGAAAGAAGAATGAAAAGAAGAGAAAAAAAAAAGAAGAATGAAAAGAAGAATGAAAGAAGAAGGAAAAAAAAAAAGAAAAAGAAGAAGAAAAGAAAAGAAGAGATGAAAAAAGAAAGAAGAAGAAGAAAGAAAATAGGAAGGAAAGGAATGAAAATTGAAGAAGAAATGAAAAAAGAAAAAAAAGAAGAAGAAAGGGGGAAGAAATGAAGGGAAAGAGTGAAGAGAAGAAGAATGAAAAA